GTAGAAGCAACAGGCAAATAGCTGTCTTCTATACAGTCAGACATAAAAGCAATTTGCAAAAAAAAGTGAAATGATTCTTCCCACCCAATTTTTACAAATGCTTTAGAAAAATTGGTATTTTCCATTAAAAATACATTTATGTTAACATGCAATGAGTTTGTTATTTTTAAGTGAATTATCTTTAAAATTTCTTGATATGATATAGATGGCTATAACTAAAAAACAAAAGCTCTCTGGGATCTTCCACACCTTTCAGGTAAGACGGTACAGCAGTCCTACAATGGTTTGCACACAACCCTAAAGATCATGTGCTAGAAAATTAATCTCTAGCCGGGCATAGTGGCACGCACTTGTAACCCCAGCACTCAGGAGGCTGAGGCAGGAGGATCACTGTGGGTTTGAGGCCAGCCTGAGTTTCAAAGTGAGTTCAAGGCCAGTCTGAACTACATAGTGAAACCTTGTCTCAAAAAGATAAAAACAAAGAAAAGAAAATTAATCTCTAGTATAACGGTGTTGGGAGATGGGGCCTGATTACACGTGATCAGGTACTGAGGACTCTGCTGTCTTGTAGGTATTAAAATCCTCAACACAGGCGAGTCTCACCCACTCCACTGAGCTATGGGATAATGTGCCCCATGGGCCTACACCAGATGCCAGCACCATGTTCTTGGGCTTCCCAGACTCCAGAATCACAGGCCAAATAAATTCATTGTTCATTATAAATTACTCAGTCTCAGATACTCTGCTATAGCAGCAGTAAATGGACTAAGACAGGTTCTAAGATCAAAATGTCACAGCTGAGGATATAGATCAGCAGTAAAGTTCTTGCATATGTGAGTCCCTGAGACTGATTTCTCAGAACAACCCCCCAAAACACCCACAGTAACATCTACCTCAGGAAAAAGGAAAAAACGACAAAAGAAACAAACATAGACAGACAGACAGACAGATATTATGAAAAGCACATTAAGGGAATACAATGTCCACTGACAAAAACACCAAAATCCAAAATGTAGCCAAGAATGGTACACATTAGCGATCCCAGCTATTTGGGAGACTGAAGCAAGAATGGGGTCACAAGGTCAAGGGCAGTTTGGCCAATTTACTGAGGGCATCTCTCCAAGTAAAAAAGGGTTAAGGCTATAGCTCAGTGGTACAGCGCTAGCCTAATATATGCAGTCCCGGGTTCAATCCTTGTACCACAAAAAATAAGTAAAGGGAGGGAGAGAGAGCAGGAGGACGTGAATAAAGTAATTTAAAAACCCAAAATCTCTTCCTCAAAAGTACATAGGGCATAAAACTGTGACTTCTTAACAGAGAAGCTTCTCTAGCTGCTGAAGAAGCAAATAGCCTCGAGTTTCACCCATAGCTCTGGAGAAATGACTTCTGCCCACAGCTGTGCGAGCTTAGAAGTGGACCCTGCACTGTGACTGCAGCCTGGGAGACTCTGGGCAGAGGACCCCATTCAGCCCTCTCAGACCCCTGGACACACAAAGCGTGAGATAATAAATGGGCATGTGAAGCTGCCAAAAAACACAAAACAAAACAAAATGTCTTGCAAGGACAGAAATACTTTTCACATTTTAGAATCTGCTCAATCAAGGGACTGTTTGACTGTCCTTTCTACCTTTCCCACTAGGATACAAGCTTCATGAAGACAGGAATATGTGTGGTTTGCTCACCATTAAGACTAGCCCAGCACCTGGCACATAGCCAAAGTTTAACTATTTGTTAGATTTTTCTTTTTTTTTCTTTTTTTTTTTTTTTTGCAGACAGGTCTTGCCAGGTAGTTCTGGCTAACCCTGAACACACTGTGCAGCCCAGGCTGTTCTTGAACTCACAGGGATGCTCCTGTCTCAGCCTCCTGAGTGCTGGAATTACAGTTCACCAATATGCCTGGCCTATTTCTATTTTAAAAACGTCTATAAAGACTTGCAAACAGAACCCAATGACATGCCTATTCAAAAAAAAAAATCTTTTTGGCCTATTCAAATCTTATAAACATGAAATTTTACAACCAAACTTTACCTATTTAAGCTCAGTGTGGTAGCATATGCCTGTAATTCCAGCACTCTGAGAGGCTGAGGCAGGAGGATCGAAAGTCTGAGCCCAGGCTGGGCAATTTGGTCACTTAGCTAAACCCTGACCCAAAATAAAAAACAAAACAGGGCTGGAGGTATGGCTCAGTGCAAAGGCCCTGAGTCCAACCTCAGTACTCAAAAATCAAAAAAAGTTACCAATTGCACAGTAGTAAGTCATAAAAGATATCATTCACTGACAGCCTATTTATTGTATTTCAGGTACTATATTACATTGGACATTTTGGATTTCTAATTCCTACAACCATGGGAGTAAACTCTGCCGGTAAGAAAGTCAGCCTCTAAGAAACTAACCTGTCTAAAGTTACGTAAGTGACAGAAAATTAAACCCCTACCTCTGCTCAGAAGTCCACCAGCTTTTCATTACATACATACATTGATGCAGTGCTCAGCAGTAGCTGATTTCCTTCCTTGCCATTTCCTTTCAATTTTCACAGGAATCCCATTTTGTGGAAACTTGTTTTTTTCCTTTTCCCAATCATCCACTCTGTTTCACTGTACCCAAACTCCCACTCCTTTCCATTTCTCGGGCAATGCAGAAAACCTTCTTACAGAAGATATGTTTTTCTATTAGAAACTTCGTAACAAGCAGTATGAAAGCCTGAAAAGTGTCAGATTCCAGAACACAAATCAAGGCTCTTTGACCCACTGGTCTCCCATAATTGCTTCGCATCTAGTTATACACAAATGACAGGTGGGCAGTACTGTCATTTCCCAGAACTGACCATGACAGCTTTTGGACAGTGCCATCCTACCAAGTCTATGCCATGATTCACCAATTACAAAGTACGAAGACAGCACTTCCATCAATTCCTTGTCACTCTCTACAACCAAAAGACCAGTACTAAAAAGACTAAAATTCTAACACTTCCTCCAAGACAACTTAAATAAAAGAAACTGTCTCCACAAAACCAAAAAACAAAATAATGAAAAAAGGGGCTGGGGATTTAGCTCAGCGGCAAAGCACCTGCCTGGCAAGGACAAGGTCGTGAGTTCAGTTCCGGTCCCAGAGAAAAACCAAAACCAAAAAAAGAAACTGTCTCCAAAGAACACAATGGCAACAAAAAAACACTTTAAAAAGAAAGAAAGTATTACTGTTACTATCATTTTCTCCCACTGCTTCTGAATAGTATGTAAGCTCTTTTTCCCCACTTTTGGTTAAAGGATAATAATATCAGCAAAAGTAAACTATCCTACAAAAATTATAATGCTGTAAATATTGCTGTCACTTGATAATCTCATCACAAGGAACTATTTGCAGGGAGGGATCCCAGAGCCTGTGCAAGTTTTACACAGATTATGTGGAACTCAATTTAAACCTCACAAATCCCTAAATTATGTCTTACTTTAATTTCCAAGATAAAGAAAATATACAATTGGGGGGGGACCCTCTACTACCTTCAAAAATAAATTTTAAAACATCCTTAGCTAAAATAAAGTATTACAGGAAATCACATCTGCAGCCTGTGAGATGTATCATTCTATATATTTACTAGTAATGCCCAAAAAAGACTTCAAAATGTTCCATAAAAAAATAGTTGAGGGGCATGGCATGATGGTGCTCACCCATAATCCCAGCACTTGGGAGGCTCAGCCAGGAGGATCACTGCAAGTTTGGGCCAGCCTGTGCTATAAAGTTGAGTTCAAGGCCAGCATGATCTGCATAGTAATATTCTGCCTCAAAAAGACTAAAAAAAAAATTGCTGGGGATGGTGGCACATGCCTATAATCTCAGCACCCCCCGATACTATAATCTCAGCACTTCCGGGGGCTGAGGCAGGAGGACTGCCATGAATTCAAGACTAGCCTGTGCTACACAGCAAGACCCTATCTCAAACAACAAAATGAAACGACAAAACAAAACTGAACTGGAAAATTCCAACAATGGTAAGCTCTATTAGGCTTCATTCATCCAAAAATAAAAAAAAGTTTTTTTCAGTACTGGGCATCAAACTCAGGACCTCGAGTTTGCCAGGCAGGCACTGTGCCACTGAGCTATATCACCAGTCATATATGTTAACTAGCTGTTTGGGACACAAAAATTAAAACTGCACAGCTATTTGCAGGACTTTTTTCCTAAAATGCTAGAAAATACGTAGAAGCTTCTATGGGAGTCTGCCTAGAACAGCCACTACCCTTTCACCTCATTATGTTTGCATTTCTAGACTCAGACCCTACATCCAAACTCACTGCACCAATGATGGAAAACGGAACCAAGTACAATCATTTGAATTTTCCTCCCCAGAAAAGTGCAATTTGGACACTGAGCTAGTAAATCAGTTGGCTAGTAGCACTAGAGCTCAAGTTCACATTTCCAAGAATGAAGGAGCCATTTTTTCCACGTTTGTTAACTAGAAAAGGTCAGACTGAAGAAAGATAACTAAGGCAGGACAAAAACTTGCAGAGGTTACTCATGACAACCAGGAAGAAAGTGCCACCTAGACTGTGCTGGCTCCTGTAGGCGTCTCAATTTTTAGTTCTTGGCAAACACTTGTGAGTTCTTTTACAACGTCTTCAGCCCTCAGCACACCTGCCCCCAAAGCATTGCTCAAAGCACCAGAAAAGAATTTTCTATTCACTATCCATAATTGCAGGACAGGGTCTGGGGATTTAGCTCAGCGGCACAGTGCCTACCTGGCAAGCGCGACGTTATGAGTTCGATTCCCGGTACCGGAAAAAAACAACAACAAAAAAAAAACAAAACATAATTGCAAGACAAATACAAAAAACAACTAAGACCTAAAACCAAATCACCTTGGGAGCTGGGAATGTAATTCAGTGACAAAGCACTTGCTTAGCATGCACAAGGCCCTGGGTTCTATCTCCAGCCTTGCTACAAAAAATCAAAAGAAATGACTTATTTGCATAACCCCTCAACTTCATGCTTTCTTTCCAACTTACCTGTTCAAAAGTTCTGCTGGTTCACAGCAGGAGATTTGAGCAGAATTTGTTTAGGTCCTTTTAACACTGTAAATAATAAAAATATTAATGTAAATCATTCAGCAATCTCTTTAAAACTTTTTAAAACAATTTTCATCAGGAATATATTTTACAGGAAAGGCCTTCCAAACCTAGTTAAAATACTGAATCGCCTGCTATGTGCTACCTTGTGGGGGTTTTTTTGACAGTTCTACAGTCTAAATCTTAGGGTCTTCACAGACATACATCCCCAGTCCTTTTTTTATTTTGAGACATGGTCTCTCAATAAATTACTAACTTGCCCAGGCTTGGCTCCCAACCATCAATCCCTCTGCCTCAGTCTCCCAGAGTACAAAGATTGAAGGTATGGCTGTACCACCATGGCTGGCTGTTATGTTCATGAACTAGATTCCCTCATATTAAGAGTATTTCGTGCTACTAAAATACGTATTTTTAATGAAAGTCCTAAATGATTCTGACAAATGAACAATATAACAAGGCTTCTGGGCAATAAGAGTTTTCATTCAAAACCATATTATAGCCAAGCATGGTGATGTATGCCCTGTGATCCCAGAACTTCAGAGGTTGAGGCAGGAAGACCACCATTAAGTTTGAGGCCAGCCTGGACTACACAGTGAATTCAAGGCCAGTCTGAACTACTGTGAAACCATGTCTCAAAAAACAAACAACGAAAACCACAGTCTAGCTGCGCAAGGTGGCACACAGCTATAATCTAAGCTATGCTGGAAGATGAGACAAGACTAGAAGCGAGGCCAGCCTTGGCAATTTAGTAAGACTTTGTCTCAAATATTAAAAGGGATGAGATGTAGTTCAATAGCAGGTGTCTGCCTAGCATGTTCAAGGCTCTGAGTTTAATCCAAAATGCTAGAGGGAAAACTCTGGGTTTTGGTATTATCTTTTAAAGATATTCTTTGGTATCCAATAGAAAAATAACAGTGGCATCACAGCAATATGCATCCTATGCAAATAATCACTGAACTCCCAGAAATCTGACCAATGTTAGAATGTCCAAGGATCAAAGCTCTAGGTGTGCTTTCAGCTGGAAAATAGCCACCTTTGATGCTGTGTTGACAGAACCTTAAAGACACACAAGATGGTGATTTTCAAGTGACAAGGAATAGACTGAAGTACCATAGCTTCAACTGGTTTCTTAGCTAAAATCAAATGATAGCTTTAAATGCTATCAAAAATTAATCAAAAATTAAAATTGTCAATGCTATTAACAGTAAGAAATCAACTTGGGGAAGCCACTTCCACTTCTCATTTAATTTTGCAAAAAAGAGACTTTGCCAGGCATGGTGGTGCACACCTGTAATCCCGGCATTTGAGAGGCTGCAGTAGGAGGATCTCAAATTCAAGGCCATCCTGGGCTACATTAGCAAGTTTCAGATGAGCCTGAATTACACAGTGAGACAGTCTCAAAAAAACAAAACATAATGAAAAGGAAAGAAAGAAGCTATGTTATGATGTCCAAAAATTCATCCTACTGCAACTCTTGTACTCCACTTTTTTTTTTAAGGTAAAAGGAAAAGAGGAGTGGGCTAAATCATAAGACAAACTCTATGGGGCTAACTAAACAGAACAAGTTCCAGCGTATCTCTTGTTATAAGCATGATTAAGTTCAAGTTAATGATGCCCTATAGTTGACAAAGTAGGGAAATATGCAATACTTTTTTTTTTTTTTTTTCGGTTTTTCTCCGGTACCGGGAACCGAACTCACGACCTTGCGCTTGCCAGGCAGGCGCTTTTGCTGCTGAGCTAAACCCCCAGCCCCTACTTTGAAAATATTCTTATCTAATTAAAGTCAAACTGGCTGTTGTAGCACACACCAATAATCCCAGCAATACTGGAGGCAGAGGCAGGAGCAGTGACGACAATCCTTCAGAGCTTTCAATGATATAAATGACCTACTGCAGCAGGTTCACCACCACTGGACAGGAGGATGATAGGTTCAAGCCCAGCCTAGGCAACTTAAGTGATTTAGTAAGACTGTCTCAAAATTTAAAAAAAACAAACAAACAAACAAATAAAAAGGGCTGGGGATATAGCTCAGTATGAAGGTCCTAGTTCAATCCCTAGATAAGAAAAAAAAGTTAAAAAAAAAAAAGTAGAAGTTTGGTCACTTAAATACTTCTGTTTTTCAAATCTCTCCCAACATCACACCAAGTTATGGGCAATACAACAGTATTGTTTACATTCCTATATAATTAGCGGTTACAAGTACTACAAAAGAAAAGATCACAATAAGGTAAGCTTAATTATGAAATTAAATTTTCCTTATATTTTTAAACATACAATTCCTCAGGGCATTAAAAAAATGAATGGAGACGCTGGGAGTGCTGGTGCACGCCTGTAATCCCTGCACTCGGGAGGCTGAGGCAGGAGGATCCTTTTGAGTTCAAGACCAGCCTGGGCTATAAAGTGAGCTCAAGGCCAGCCTGAATTGCATAGTGAGACCCTGTCTCAAAAAGACAACAAAAGACCAGAAAAAAAAAAAAAAAAAAAAAGAGGAAAAAAATGAATAGAAACCCTAGGTCTTTATTACCATAAAATATGAGAGAAGGTCAACCAGAGGAGGAAAAAAAAAGGAGGTTCCTCAAACTTTTACAACACTGACTGACGAATGTTAAGGGCTATTCAAACCATTGAAGGAAAATGGACATTTAAAACTTGCCTCTAAAATACCTTGATTAACACCAACATAGGCTGTAGATTCAAGCTAATGAGACTGGTCCCGCTACAGAACAAAAAAGAAAGTACGGAAAGTTTAATCAGCAGGGGCTAACAGAGAGCTGCAAATAAAGTCAGCTTTTGAAAATGACACAAATCAAAGATCCTTTAGAAGTTCAGAGAAAAGTAGTCATCTTTCCACCCAAAAACATCCTCCAGGCCAGTTATCACTATCTAGGGTCATCTTCTATACAAACGTCAGCAAAAGAGAACAGACATATAGAGAATTAAAATGCACAGTCATGAGAACAAATAAATTGGTATGATGTCAAAAATATTATAATTTAGAAAAGTTGTTTCACAAATTCAACAAAGGAACAAAAGAAGAAATGAAATTAATTAAAACACTATCTCATCACTACCATCACTATGTTGCCTTTCGGCCACCCTGACCTTGTAATTCCTGTCTTTGCATCGTTTTTGAGACAAGACTACCACCATCATTTTTATATAGACAGTTCATCAACAAAACACTTCAAAAGTACTAAATTCCTCAGGTGAACTGATATGAAAAAAGACATTTATGAAAGGTCAGTTTAAGAAAACAGATATAAACAGCAGCCAGGTGTGGCAGCACACTCCTGTAATCCCAGCACTTGGGAGGCTGAGTCAGGAGGATTGCCATGAGTTCAAGGCTAGCCTGGACAACATAGCAAGATCCTGTCTCAAAAAACAAAAACAAA